AGGAAGCTGAGGAAGAAGGATTGCTGTGAGTTTGAAGCCAGCCTGGGCTACATAGTGAGTTCAAAGCCAGCCTGAACTGCTTAGCAAGACCTGGTCTCAAAAAAAAAAAGATTTGCTGGTAATTTATGATAAATACTAGTCATTTATTAGATATTTATTTTACATATGTTTTCTTCTAATCTGTGGCTTACCTGTTCATTTTCTTTAATGGATTATTTTTTTTGTACTGGAGCTTGAACTCAGGACCTTGTGCTTGCAAGGCAGGTGGCAGCACCACTGAGCTAAATCCCCGGCCCTTTAACAGATTTTGTTTTGTTTTGGTACTGGGGATTGAACTGAGTTCACCTTGCACTTGCCAGGCAGGAATTGGCACCACTGAGCTAAATCCCCAGCCCTGACCTGTTCATTTTCTTTTTCCTTTTTTGGGGGCTGGGGGTGGGTACCAGGAATTGAACTCAGGATCTTGTGCTTATGAGGCAGGCATGGTGCCACTGAGCTAAATCCCGGGCCCTGTTCATTTTCTTTTTTTTTTTTGGTGCCAGAGATCGAACTCAGGACCTTGCACTTGGGAGGCAGGCACCAGAACCACTGAGCTAAATCCCCAGCCCCCCTGTTCATTTTCTTAATGGTGCTTTTTGGTGAGCAAAATTTAAAGGTTTTTTTTGTACCAGGAATCGAACTTGTGTCCTTGCACTTGCAAGGCAGGTGGTGGAACCACTGAACTAAATCCCTGGCCCAAAAATTTAAAGTTTTGATGACATGTAATTTATCTAATTTTTCTGTCAGCTTTTCAATAGTTATGTAAGAAACCTTTTCCTATTTCCAATCCACAAAAGTGGATTGTTTGGGTTTCTTAATTAAAAAATCAGAAGTCCCTCTATTGAATTTTTCATTTCAGTCATTTCACTTTTTATTTCTGTAAGTCCTACTTTTTCTACAGCTAGTGTTACTTTTCAGTTTCCTGTTCTCAGTAAGATTTGTCTTTCATTTTATTTAGTTTTGTTTACACATGGTAGACAGGTTTTTATGTCAGATGACTACAATAACAGTTTTATTGGGGAGGGATCTGGTATTACTATTTCTGCAGTTTTCTATGCTTAATTGTTTTTTTTCTTTTTTCTGGTACTGGGGATCAAACTCAGGACCTTGTGCTTGTGAGGCAGGGATGGTGCCACTGAGCTAAATCCCCAGCCTGCTTAGTTGGTTTTGACTACGAGCTATGCATTATATTTCTTTAAAAAATCATTTGTGGGGCTAGGGATGTAGCTCCATGATAAGAGTGTTTGCCTAGGGCCAGGGATTTAGCTCAGTGGTTTCGCAGCCTGCTGTGCAAGCACAAGGACCTGAGTTCAATCCCTGGTACCAAAAAAAAAAGTGTTTGCCTAACATGCCTGAGGCTCTGGGATCCATCCCCAGTACTGTAAAAAAAGAAAAATATCCTTTGAGTTCTGGAACAAAGGTACATTTTTCTAGAAATCATTTGATTTTGCTTCTGGCTTCTGTCATAAACTAAAATTTGATATTTAACAACACCCAAGTACGGAAAAATCAGCTTATGGTTATTCTTTGCAGGAACAATTTCTAACTTCCACCATTTCACTTGGCCAGGCAACTTTTACTGTACCAAAGTTTTTTTCCTTTGCTTTCCTCTAAAAGCTTATGGTTTTATATTTTATGTTTAGGTCTCTGTTCTCAGACTAATTTTTGTGTTTGGGGGATATAAGAATCAATATAAACATCCAGATCTTCCAGTACCATTTATTTAAGACTTCAGACTTCAAGTTTTAGGTGGCCTATGGGGCATCCAGGAAGAGATTTCAGGGAGTGGTGACCACACGGAGATGGGGTCCAGGGGAGGTCAGGGCTAGGGATGGATAGTGGATCCATGCATCTAGCCCAAGCTGTAGAAACAGAGCAGGTGACGTAGCTCAGCTCCATGGGTGACCTAGTTCTCTACTCATAGCCCCAGCCACCCCTCCCCGATGTGTTGCTTTGGATGCTCAGTGGGCGGCGCCGTGTGGCCTGTGCTCGGATCCCTGCCCAGGATGTGCTGTTCTCTGTGGTCGAGGAGGAACGTGGCCGGGACTGTGGGAAGATCCAGAGTCTGCTGCTCACAGTGAGGGGGCCCTGGGGTGAGGGTGCTGGGCAGAGTGGGGTGAGGCTCACAGGGCAGGGCTGGGCACCAGGGGGAGAGGGTTATGGTTCCCAACTGAGCACTTCTCAGTTCTTTTCAATTATCCCAAAAAAGCCAAAAGGAGGTGTGGCTTTGCTCAGGGCAGCTTGGAAGGGAGGTAAACAGCAAAGTCATTAGCCCTTGGCCTGCACTGGCCTTTTTGCTGACCAGGCTCTGACATATGGACAGGGCCATGAAAAGGGAAATAATTAGGTATTTACCTGTAGAGCTGTTTTGTATGCAAAATATTTCTAAATGAGATTCACTAAAGATACTAAAAGGGATCCCAGGTGGAGAGAAACTGTGACTCTTGGGGTTACAAACAGGGAATGTAAATGTGTTGGGAATAGAGGAGACAAGAGAGGGAGGGAAAAGGTCAGACTGTAGTTTTAGGGTTGGGCTGTGCTGTGGGTATAGGAAGTGACACGGTTAGGGCAGGAAGTATAGAGGACAGAGTCAGGGATGAAGGGCATGAAGAGGATTGGAAGGGTGGGGGCAGAGAGACTGCCCTTTGGATTGGGGAGCTTTGGTATGACCTGACAATAAGATGGTACACCCTGGGGCAGCAGGAGTGTTGTTGGTTCTAGCTGGGATAAGAATAGGAGTATTGGGCTGGGGATTTAGCTCAGTGGTTTCGCCGCCTGCTGTGCAAGCGCAAGAACCCAAGTTCGATCCCCCGTACCAAAAAAAAAAAGAATAGGAGTATTTGGGTGCCAGCATGCCTTCTTCCCACACAGGCACCTGGGGCAGCCCCTGGGGAGGTCTGTGCCAAGCTGGAGCTCTTCCTATGGCTGGGGCTGGGCAAGCAAGCCAAGGCCTGCACCTCGGAGCTGTCCCCAGACCTGCTGCCTGAGCCCTCGGCTGGGCTGCCTCACAGCCTGTACCGGGACGGTAAGCATGGAGGGTGGGTGGGGTGTGTACGAGCTTTCCTTGCTACTCGCCCAGGTTGGGTGCTCATGAGTCAGGGGACCTAAGTGATCCTCTGAGCAAGCATGGATGGGCCTTGCCCTTCCCTCTCCCCAGATTTTAGTTACTTCCAGCTCCGGGCTCACCTTTACCAGGCCCGAGGTGTGTTGGCAGCAGATGACAGTGGCCTCTCAGACCCCTTTGCTCGAGTACTCATCTCTACCCAGTGCCAGACCACACGGGTGAGGGGCGTGGGTGAAGGGGCTGGAAGATAAGGTGGGGCTCTTTCTCTCAAGGTCCTCAGTCCCTGTGCCCACCCAGGGTTTTCAAGACAGGCTCCTGGGTGAGACTTCTCTGACTTAGGGGATGGTGGCAAACCAGAGGTCTTGGCAGGAGGGGTGGTTTCCTGGGTTGACATTAGGACTTGGCTCTGAGGGTGGCAGATTACATTTGAGGAAGAGCGGGGCAGGGAGGGGCAGCCCCAACCCAACTGCAGTTGCTTTCGCCTTCATCTCTTGCTGCTGTTGTCATGACAAGAAGCTGTGGGGAGTATCACCAGAGCAAGCCTGCTCACCTGACCATATATGGGGAGTTGCTCCTGACACCTGCCACTGCTCCCCTCTCTGCATGGTCCAAAGGTTTTGGAACAGACACTGAGCCCCCTGTGGGATGAACTCTTGGTGTTTGACCAGCTGATCGTGGATGGGAGGAGGGAGCACTTGCAGCAGGAGCCTCCACTAGTGGTCATCAACGTCTTTGACCACAATAAGTTTGTGAGTGTGGCTTGGCCCCAGCCAGGTTCCAGGCCTGCACCCCCTACATCCTTGATGCCCCCGCCTCTGGGTCCCTTCTGTCTTCATTGTCTTGCTCTGCACAGGGCCCCGCTGTGTTCCTGGGCAGGGCGCTGGCTGCTCCAAGGGTGAAGCTGACCGAGGACCCATACCAGCGCCCCGAGCTGCAGTTCTTCCCCCTGAAGAAGGGAGCACGGGGAGCCGGAGAGCTCATTGCCACTTTTGAACTTATTGAGCTGGACTACAGTGGCCGACTGGAGGTCAGAATACCCTGGTCTAGTGGTACAGGCTGTGGGCCTAACTTGTTATGCATCAGCTCCCATGTTCCCTGCACATCGCTGTTTTCTGAGGAACCCCAGCCGACATCTCCAATCCAGCCTTCCCTGATTCCTCTCTGTTTACACCTTAGCAGGAGCTCTCTATATCCCTGTCCCAAGCCCAGGCTTTCCTTCCTTTGGCCTGATTCCTCTTTGACCTCTGACCTCTTTGCCCCTGCAGCCCTCAGTGCCCAGTGATGTGGAGCCCCAGGATCTGACAGCCCTGCTTGAGCCCCTCTCTGGATGCCTATCCCTGCCACCCAGTGTGCGCCCGGTGCTCAGAGAATTCCGGGTTGAGGTAGCACCAGGCACTCTGAGCCCCTCATTCCTCACACCAGGCAGCCCTCTTTCAGGTGCAGACCCCTGAGTCCCCCACTTCCTGACTCCTTAGGTGCTGTTCTGGGGTCTGAGGGGCCTTGGTCGTGTGCACCTGTTTGAGGTGGAACAGCCCCAGGTTGTGCTGGAAGTGGCCGGGAAACGTGTGGAGTCTGAGGTCCTGCCCAGCTACCATGACAGCCCCAATTTCACTGAGCTCGTCAGGCATCTGACAGTGGTGAGGAATGGGCCGGGGGCAAGGCATGCTGGGCAGGGAAGTAGAAGGCAGCAGATGGTGAATTTCTAGTGGTTGTCTCAGACTCTGTAAAGGGCCAGATAGTGAGTACTTAGGCTTTGTGGGCCACACAGTCTCAGTTGCAGATATTCAACTCTGCCACTATAGCTTGGAAACAGCTACAGATAATATGCAAATGAATGAGGATGACTGTGTTTGGGTGAAACTTTATTTAGAAAAATTGGCAGAGGGCTGGGCATGGTGGTAATCGCAGTGCTCTCGGAGGCTGATGCAGGAGGACTGGAAGTTCCAGCCCAGCCTGGGCAATTTAATGAGACCCTGTCTCAAAATGAAAGATTAAAAAAGGGCTAGAGATGTAGCTCAGTATGAAAGCCCTGAATTCAATCCCTAGTAACACACATGTACACACACACACACACCCCAAAACCAAACCAAACCAAAACCCAGCAGTGAGCCAGACTTGGCCCATGATCTCTGTGCTACCCTGTGGCCTGATCGTGCCTCTCTCGGTTCTACTGAGCGAGTGGATCGGCCATTTGTCCTGAAGGATGAGCTCAGAATCTACCTCACCTCTGAGACACTGAGGGCTGAGAAGAAAATTTTATTGTGTAATTTGTAATTACTGTTTCATAGTCAAATTTTGATAATGCTGCTCAGGATCTCATCAAATCACCCATATCATTTGAGCTTCAGTTTTCTCTATGAACCACAGGGGTTACAGGCACAAAAGAAAAAAGGCCGGAAGACACCAGGTGCCTTTTTCAGGAGTACTGTGAGGAGCCTGTGACAGAAAGGATTGGGTAATGGCTTTGTAAACTGAAATGTCCTGTGACTTTGCAGGAGTGGGACTGGAGCAAAGCACAGTAGTTCCAGACTGCAAGGGGACAAAAATCAACCAAATAGAAAACTCCATCACTGTCTCATGACTCTTATTTCACATGCAGGAGTTTCAGTTTGAAAAAAATTTTTTTTAAATTGTTCTGGGGACTAAACCTAAGGCCTTCACATGGAGCTACACCCTGGGGCTTTAAAATTTTTCTTTCAAGATAGGGTGTCACTAAGTTGGTACGTTGCAGTTCTCCTGCCTCAGCCTCCCAGAGTGAGGAGTAATTACAGGCCTGTGCCATCATTCCTGCATCTCATCTTGTTTTAAGGTGATGAAATTGAAAGCAGTTGCTCATTGAACTTCCAGAGGGTGTGACTTAGCCCATTCTAGCTGTCATATCAAATACTTTAGATAGTTGATAAACAGAAATTTATTGCTCATAGTTCTACAGGTTGGGAAATTCAAGATTAAGGTACCCGAAGATCTGGTGTCTGGCAAGTGTCGGTTCCTCATAAATATCTCCCTTGATGTGTTCCCTATGGTGGAAGGGCAGAAAGGGGCTAACAAATTCCCTCAGGACTGTATTCTTTTTTTTTTTGGTACCGGGGATCGAACTCTGGACCTTTCTCTTGCAAGGCAGGTGCCAGAACCACTGAGCTAAATCCCCGGCCCTTATTCTTTTTAATAAGACCACAAATCTCATTTGGGAGGCTCTGCCCTCATGAACTAGTTATCCTTCAAAGGCCCAATCTTAATGCCATTGGTTTTGGGTTAATACATGAATTTTAGGGGAGCACATACATTCAGACCCAAGCAATGTGTTTTCTCTCATTTCTCACTTTGTGGTACAAGTTGAACAGCACACATCCCTTTCTCCATGGTGCACTCAGAAAGAACGGGCACTCTTGTGTTGAGGGGAGTGCATCCCATAGATACCATTAGGTTAGGTTGCTTGCTAGTGTCATTCAAACCCCTGATTGTTAGGGCTGGGGATTTAGCTCAGTGGTTCTGCCACCTGCCTTGAAAGTGCAAGGTTCCGAGTTCGATCCCTGGTACCAAAAAAAACCCTTGACTGTTTTTTTTTGAGACAAGGTCTCACTTTGTGTTCAGGCTGGTTCTGAACTCACTTTGTAGCCCAGGCTTGCCTCGAACTCATGGGGATCCTCCTGCCTCTGCCTCCCGAGTGCTGGGATTATAAGCGTGCGCAACCACGCCCGGCAACCCTTGATTGTTTTCTGTCTAGTTGTTTTCTCCCATGTCGAGAATAGGGTATTGAAGTCTCCAGCTTCATTTTTATTTTTATTTTTTTTGGTACTGGGGATCGAACTCGGGTCCTTGAGCTTGCGAGACAGGCAGCGGAAACACTGAGCTAAATCCCCGGCCCTAGAACAATCTTTTGAGACTAGGATTTTGTTTCTTTTTTAGCTGGGACATAGAGTCAGAAAGCCATGACTCAGCAGAGACGAAACAGTGAGGCAGAGGCAGTGCTAGGCCCACAATGATGTTTAGATGTATTGTTTTCCCACCTGCCTTTGCTTCTTCCCCCGGTCTTTGTAGACACAGTTCCTCTTTCCCTACCCCCAGGACTTGCCGGAGCAGCCTTACCTGCAGCCCCCACTCAGCATCTTGGTGATTGAGCACCGGGCCTTTGGTCGCACAGTCCTTGTGGGTTCCCACATTGTCCCCCACATGCTGCGATTCACACTCCAGGGAAATGAGGATCCCCCTGAGGAGGAAGGAGCAGAGGAGGAGACAGAGGACTCAGAGCCCAAGGGACCTCAAGGTTAGAGGCCTTTCCCTTAGGGGCTACCAGACAGAAGTCCCTCTGGTTCCTGGGGACCCCTCAGTGGGCATGGAGTCTGACTTCTAATCACCTGCCTTCGTGGTGCCATTCCTGCTCCCAGGACCAAAATCTTTGGATCCCTTCTTGGCTGAGGCTGGGATCTCTAGATGGCTCCTGAAGGTAATGCTATGTGTGAGAAGGGCAGAGAAGAAATTGGTAGGGCTTGGGGTGGTGCTTGGTTAGGGTGACTGAGTCTTCCCTCTGCAGGTTCCTCTGAAGAAGCTCACCCTAGGAGGCCTCCTGAGTCAAGGTCCAGAGCTGGAGGAGGACATCCCGGACCCTGAAGAGCTGGACTGGTGGTCCAAGTACTATGCATCCTTGCAGGAGCTGCAGACACAGGTGGGGCGCAGGATGGTCCTGGGGGGTGGGGGGTGGGAGGAGAAATGGCAAGAAGAATCCTCATCACACTCCGAGTGCTATAGTTTTACAGAGCTCTTTACTATAATCATCTTTTCTCTATCACAATTTTAGGAGTTGAAGATGATTAGCTCCATTATCTAGGTCTCTGCCATCCACAGAAATATAATGCAAGCCACATATGTCATTTTAACTTTTTCAGTAGCCACATGAGAAAAATAAATGAAAGGAACCAGGTGAAATTAATTTACTAATGTGTTTTATTTACCATAATATAGTAAAATATTATTTCAACAAATAATCACCGTAAAAATTAATAATGAAATATCTTACATTCTTATGATATACTAGGTTTTTAAAATCTGGTGTGTACATTTTATTTTATTTTATTTATTTTTTTTTTTGGTATGTGAATTTTATACTTAGAGCATTAGCCACATTTCAACTGCTTGGTAGCCACTGACTGGTGGTTACTGTCTTGGAGATGCAGGATTGGAAGATAAATGCAAGCTTTGAAAACAAGTGGCTTACCCAGCTGGAACTTGAACTCTGGTTTCCCCACTCAGTATCCTGGAAAAAGGGTAGACCAAGAGGTGGCGAAGGGATGGGGAAGAATCTCCTATCTGCCCTTTGATTTCAGCCCAATCGGGACGAGGAGGAAATGGATGATCCTGGGGATTCAGGTAAGAGATCGAGCATTTTTGCTCTTGCTCATCTGCCCATGTCACTCTCCACCCAGATATTTCTGGCCTGGGCATTTCTGCTATTTCCAGATGGGGTCAACTTCATCTCTGCAGATGGGGAGGCCCAGGACCAGGATGAGGCTGATGTCGAAGGCACTGTGTCTCGGAAAAAAGCAGTTGCCACCCTGAAGGTGACTGAGTTTTGGTAGATGGGAATCTCTTTGGATTCTGGATGTTGAGCTGTCACTGAAGCCCCTGCCTTTCAGATCTACAGCAGCTCCCTGGAGGAAGAGTTTAACAACTTTGAAGACTGGCTGAATGTGTTTCCCCTGTACCGAGGGCAAGGAGGGCAGGGTGGGGACGGAGAGGAAGAAGGCCCTGGATACTTCTTCGGCAAGTTCAAGGTGTGTTTGGGAAAGGAAAAGGAGGCCAGAGACCACAGGCAGGGATTCAGGAGGAAAACTCTCACCAGAGCCTTTTCTGCCTCCCTCCATCCCAGGGCTCCTTCCTCATTTACCCTGAGTCAGAGGCAGCATCCTTTTCTGAGCCCCAGATCTCCCGGGGGATCCCACAGAACCGACCCATCAAACTCCTGATCAGAGTGTATGTTGTAAAGGTGAGTGTCGTGCTGTCAATCTCCAACAGCAGCAAAGGTGATGAACATGAAAGCTACAGGATGAGCCGTTGGAAGGCATGGCAGGGATCAAAGTCCAACTTGTTCATTTTTTCAGAAGGGAAATCTTAGACATAAAGTTAGGAGACTTAGGGTTACAATGTTGGTGATGGCAGAACTAGAATTTAGAGTAGGACTCTTGACCCATTGGTCACTATTGTGCTCCAGCAGAATGGGGAATGTAGCTCTGGATCTCAAGCTTCAGAATGGCTCATTGCCCAACACCTTGGGATGTTCTTCCATTTCTGCAGTTTCCGTGCAGAGATCAGCAGGGGCCTGAAATTTTCTTGAAGATATCTCAGGGAGTAATGGGGACTGAGTGGGTTGCTCTGGTCCCTCACTCCTTGTCTCCAGAGCAGATGGTATACTTCTGTCTGGTTTAAATATAGGGATCCTAAGACATCATTTGAAGAAATGTTCTATGGTACCATCCTATCATAATCTATGACTCCTAGTATATCAACTTAGTAATAGAAGTTATCCTGACCTTTTGTTTCTAGCAGACTGCTAGACTAGATGGTCTGGGATAAATTCTTTTTATAATACATCTAAAGATGCTAAGAATACTGTCTTTTAAATGAATGCTAAACTTATGCTGAGGTCCTAAAAACAGAAAAGAAAAGAAGGGGCCAGGTACGCCTATAAGTCTAGCACTCATGAGGCTGAGGCAAGAGGATTACTATGAGTTTGAGGCCAGCCTAGGCTACATAGTGAATTCAAGGCCAGCCTGAATGATATAGTGAGACCCTGTCTTAGAGAAAGAGAGAGAGACAGAGACAGAGACAGAGACAGAGAGAGACTAATTTTTTTAATGCTCAGGCATAGAAGAGTGAATAAATAAACTATATGTCCATACAACGAAGTACTACACAGCTTTAAAAAAGAATAAGGAAGACCACTATAGTCTGATATGAGGTAATTTCTAGAATATACTAGAAGGTAAAAATAGCAAAATGCAAAAGAATGTATAATATTCTACTCTCCCTTTTAAGAAAGATGATATAAGAAAATATATGAGCAACAAAAGTACAGGAAGGATTAAATAGAAGCTCAGAGGCTGGCTCCTAAAGGAGAAAGCAGCAAAGAAGTGGAAAGAAGATCAGAGTAGCAGAAATGAAGACATAGTGACACTTCTCAGAGAACATATGCTCCTTGGCTTACAAAGCAATGTGTACTGATACACGCACTGCAATTCGAAATCACTGTAAATACATTTAGACTACCCAATCTACCAATTACAGTCTAGCAGCACACTACAGAGTGTTGTCCTCTCATGTGTGGTGGCTCTCAGGGACTTCTGGCTTCACAAGGGAACGATTTGAAGATTATCCCAGAGAAAGATCAAAATCCAAATTTTTTTTTTTGGTACCGGAGATTGAACTCGCTGAGCTAAATCCCTGGCCCTAAAATCCAAAATTTGAAATATGATTTCTACTGACTGCATATAGCTTTCATACCATTATAAGGTTAAAAAATTGTAAGTCAAACCATCTTAAATTGAAGATTGTCAGATATAGGAGGAGATAAGGGAGTTATCTTGGTGGCTTCCCAGGGGAGAGAGCACTCCAGGCAGAAAGCCAGTCTGAAGGTGAGATGGTGCCTACTGTGTGTGAGGAATGACAAGGAGAGCAGAATGAGGGGGAAAGGGAGGGGTAGTTTTTGAGACAGGGTCTTACTGTGTAGTTCAGGCTGCCCTTGAACTCACTATGCAGCCCAGGCTGGCCTTGAACTAGAAGTGGTCCTCCTGCCTTAGCCTTCTAAGGAAGAGAGGGTTTTAGGAGTTAAGTTTTCAGAGGAAATATAGCAGCGATAGGCAGAGAGGACAGATCATGTTAGGTCTCATTTGTTGGTCATTTTATCCAGAATTGAGCAGGAAGCCATCAGAAGGTTCTAAGTAAAGGAGTGACAGGATGCAATTTAAATTTTAAAAGACCTTATTTTTTGGTGTGTAGAGAATAGACAGTGGAAAGCAAGAGTGGGGTAGGGGCACTGATTATGAAGCCACCAAAAGATCTAGGGAGAAAGAATGGTGGCTTGAACAAAAGTAGTAGCAGTAGAGGTAGTGATCCGGAGTTAAGATTCTGGAAATATCTTCAAGGTGAGGCTGACAGATTGAAACAGAATAGCTGTGAGTCACCGTGGTGAATGTAAAAGGAAAGAGAAGGTTGATTCACAGGTTTTGGCACAAGTACCTGGAAGTTCAGATAAGGGTACTTTAATTGATAAGGAGAAGGCTTTGGGTGAAGTAGGTTTGGGCATGGAGGTGGCTAGAGATCTGTTTGATCATAAATGATTTTTTTTTGGTACTGGGGATTAATCCAGTACCATCATATTGAGCTACATCCCCAGTTCTTTTTTGTTTTTTATTTTGAGATAGGGTCTTGCTAAGTTACCCAGGCTGCCTTCAAACTTACGGTTCTTCTGCCTAACTTCCCAGAGTGCTGGGATTACAGGCCTGCACCACTGTGTCTGGCTGACCATATTAACTTTTATATGCCTTTTAGGTTGCAAATGGAGTTGGCAGTGACATTCAAATCTGGAGTTTAAGAGAGAGATCTGAGCTGGAAATATAATTGGGAGTTGTTAGCCTATTGATGGTATTTAATGCTTGGGACTAGATGAGATCACCAAGGGAGAGCATATACATAATGAAGTGGTCCAGGGAAGAATCCGGGACATTTGAATATTTAGATACAGGAGAGAAGAGTCAGTCTCTGTAACGATGCTGCCAAAGAGGTGAACATGTAGGTCCCCATAGGGGACAAAGACTCACCATTTACATAAACGGGGAAGGCAGGACATGGGATACAGACCTTGGCAGGAAGTCATGGTGGTGGGAGTTTGTACCAGTTCCTCTCTGAGGACTTTTATGACCATAGAGCATAGGGAAGATTTAGTAAAGAGAACAGAGCATTAACCATAAATGAAATATCAATAAATTGATTTTATTATGATCAAGACCTCTACTCAGCAAAAGGCACCAGTAAGAGAGTAAAGAGATGGGGCACAGACTGGGAGATGTTTGTACTGTATAAGCAACAAAGGACAAATATCCAAAATATATGAGTAGAATCAATAAGAAAAAAAATTGGCAATAGATGTAGGTACTGTGCACAAAACAAGTAATCAAAATGTCTAATAAGCACATGAAAATATGTCCAACATCATTGCTCCCTGGGAAAATACATATGAAAACCACAATGAAGTATCACTGCATACTCGTGTAAGTGGTTCAAAGCCTGAACTCTAAACCAGATGTGGTGGTGCACACCTGTAATCCCAGTAGTCTGGGAAGCTGAGCCAGGAGGATTACAAGTTTGAGCCCAATATGGGCAAGTTATTGAGTGTAAAAATAAAAAAGAACAGGAGATGTAGCTCAGTGCAAAGGCCCTAGGTTCAATTCTCTGTATCACAAAAAATACAATTAAAACTTGGCCTGGGGATGTAGCTCAGTAGAAAGGTAGCAGTTGTTTAGCATGTGTGAAGCCCAGCACCATGAAAGAACAACAGAAGCCTAAATGGTGAAGCAAAAGATTTGAACAGTCACCACACACAGACACACGCACGCACACACTTGTGTAACATGCACACAATGGGCAATAAGTGCTTAAAAAAAACTCACCTTCATTAGTCATCAGGGAAATCCAAATGAAAACCACAATGGGCTACTGCTTCACATATTCTAGAATAGGTAAAATGAAAAAGATTGTTAATACCGAATGTTGGTGCTGAGTGTGGTGGCACACACCTATAATCTCAGCACTTGGGAGGCTGAGGCAGGAGGATCATTATGCATTCAAGTCCAGCCTGGGGTACATAGTGAGTTCAAGGCCAGCCTGAACTACACAGTGAGACCCTGTCCCCTCAAAAAACAAAAGCAAAAACAAAACAAACCCAAACAAACAAATGCCAAATGTTGGTAAAAGTGTAGAACACCTGGAACCTTTATACTGTATATTTCAGGTAGGAATGTAAAAAATATTAAAAAACATAGTTGCTTATAAATTATATTTTAATCATTTATACAGAAGTTATATTTGCTAAATTTTTTGTAATAAAAAAAGTTTAAAATATGCATCTTTAAAGCATACAAAGTAGTGCTATATATTACTTAGGGATACATGTAGGATGGAATAAAAGTACAAAAATACACAAATGGGTGATTAACCCTAGGGAAAGAGTTTGGTTTACTTCAGAGATGCAGATGGAAATCTGCTCATCATAAAAAATAAAAGCTTAGGCCCGGGTATGCAGCTCAGTGATAGAATAACTTTATTTTTTTATCTGTATTAGTACATGTTTGGAGTACATCATGGCTGCATTCATTGTGCAGAGTTGGCACATGTATAACACATCTTAGTTCTTTTTATGTCCCATCCCTTTCTCCTCTCTTCCTCTATTTAGAGCACTTGGCTGGCATCTGTAAGTACTGGCTGGGTTCAATCCCCAGTATTGGGCAAAAAAAAATCAGTACAGAAATTTGTAAGTTTAATAGTAAGTTCCTTAGACAAATATTTTGTTTTATTAAAGTTTTTATTATACCTATTTTTTATATACATATTTTCATTTGTTTTGTTTTGTTTTTGTATTTTAATTTTTTTTGGTACCGGGGATTGAACTCAGGTCCTTGCGCTTGCACAGCAGGCAGCGAAACTTGTTTTTGTATTTTGAGATAGGGCCTTGCTATGTACCCCAGGCTGGCCTTGAACTTGCAGCAGTCCTCCTGCCTCAGCCTCCTAAGTGCTGGGTTTACAGGCATGTGCCACCATGCCTGGCCTGTGTATCTTTATTTTTTGGTACCGGGGAACAAACTCAGGACCTTGTGTTTGTGAGGAAGGTGGTGGCACCACTGAGCTAAATCCCTGGCCTCTGGACTATATATCTTAAGTATTTCATAACTAACTGAAAAGTCATCTTGTGCAACTGTTCAGTGCTAGATCTTCCCCTTGGTCACTTCGTGCTTAAACTTATTTTGAAATTAGATCCAAAAAGGGTTTGGGCTATGACAATGACACTTTTCCTAATTCCATTCCATGCCATCCTTTAGGCAACCAACCTGGCTCCTGCAGACCCCAATGGCAAAGCAGACCCCTATGTGGTGGTGAGCGCTGGCAAGGAGCGGCAGGACACCAAGGAACACTACATCCCCAAGCAGCTCAACCCCATTTTTGGAGAGTGAGACTGGGCCTTAGGGTTGGGAGTGGGGGAGCAACTTGGCCATCAGCCCTGTGGCTCAAGGGCTCTCACAGGTAGCTGACTTGGTGATAGTGTGGGATGGCTCCCCCATGCCTGACTACCTCTGAGTCCGTCTTTCTCCTGGCCAGGGTCCTGGAGCTAAGCATCTCTCTTCCGGCTGAGCCAGAGCTGACTGTGGCTGTATTTGATCACGACCTTGTGGGTTCTGATGACCTCATTGGGGAGACCCACATTGATCTGGAAAACCGATTTTACAGCCACCACAGAGCAAACTGTGGGCTGGCCTCCCAGTATGACGTGTGAGTCTGACAGGGCCCTCAGGAGCTGTTCCATCTCTCTGATCAAACACATTCAGGCTCATGTTCCCCAGTTGTGTCTCTAGATCTTGAAATTTCACAGAATGGGAACTAACTACCCCCTGCCAAGACATCAAAGTTCAATATCCAAGACTTGGCTTGGGTGTTAGGACGCTGTAACTAGTAAGTCACTCACCCTCTTGTGCCTCAGTTTCTCATCTGCCAAACAGAGATGGTAGCAATATCTCCTTCATACTACTCAATGTCTTTCATTTTCATCAATTCTATAAACAAGGACAACCTGTCCTCTTGGGGTTCTGAGCCTGGATCCCATGTCCTCATCCCTGCCTCTGTGCCTATCTGCTCCCATAGACTGGCACCATGCATCTTCTTTTCCTGCCCTCAGGGATGGATACAATGCCTGGCGTGATGCATTCCGCCCTTCACAGATCCTGGCAGGGCTGTGCCAACGCTGTGGCCTCCCAGCCCCTGAATACCGAGCTGAGGCTGTCAAGGTGGGCAGCAAAGTCTTTCTGACACCGCCTGAGACCCTGCCCACAGGTACTGACCCCTCTCTGCTGGACAGGCCAAGGGGAACAAGGTGGAGGTAGAATAAGGTACAGAGGGTCCCAATGCCAGTTTAGTGTACCCCTAAAAAGATCTTGCTGAAGGCTGGGAATTTAGTTCAGTGGTTCCACAGCCTGCCTCCCAAGCACAGGGACCTGAGTTCGATCCCCAGTACCAAAAAAAAAAAAGAGCTTGCTGAAGGCAGCAGGCAGAAAATGTGTGTTTGGTTGAGTCAGAATGAGGTTCTTGGATGCTGAGTAGAAAATAGTCTTTAATTGGACCCCTGAGAGCCAGAGCTAATCAAGTTCCCATGTCACAGGGCAACTCTACAGTGTCCACACAACAGCATATGGCTGAAAAACTGAATCCATCCCCCAGGAATGGCCAGAGGTCTGTTCTCTAAACAGGGTCTTAGCAAAGGCTACAGCCCCTTCCATGCCCTGGTCCCCTGACTGCCGGTTCTCACCAACCCAAGTTATTACAGTAGCAACCCCCTCCCACTTTGTGTGCGGCCCACTTGCCCTACCTAGTCTCCCAGTCCATGGACTTTATCCAGTGCTGTGGTGGCCTCAGTTTAGATCTTCTGAGGAGGGGAAGGAGGTTGAAGGGAGAGTTAGGCATTGTGTGGAACCCAAGTTCATGCACCTTTTGTTTCAGGTGGTGGGGGGCCCCAGTTGGCAAATGGAACCTCTGAGGAGGCCCAGGCATTACTTGTGCTGCGGCGTTGGCAGGAAATGCCAGAGCTTGGGATCCAGCTGGTACCTGAGCATGTAGAAACTCGGCCCCTCTACCATCCTCGAAACCCAGGGCTGCTGCAGGTAAGGGGTTGCTCAGCAGTTTGACGTAGGACTGGCAAATCCCAGGATTCCCACTGGGTTCTGGCCACTGGCCCCAGCATACCCTTTCTCCAAGACTTCTACTTGGGTCCTATACTGCCACTTTACTCTGGGCTCCCCATGCTGCTTGCCAGCATCCCCATTCCAGTCTTGGAATCTTGGATCTGCATGCTGGGACCCTTTACTCTATTCCTGAATCTGATCTTGCAGGATCCTCCCCCTCCTGGGCACCAAGTTTCAGACCTGGGGTTCCCAACCTGACATCTGCCCTGTTTCCTTAGGAACACCAGATCTTACTTTTGATCCCAATATTCCACTTCTGGGTCCTTACCCCTGAATCTCCAACCCAACCTTGACCTTATAACCCTTAGTCCAGACTCCACCTTCATGCCTATCTTCCAGGAACTTCTTGGATGCTTCTCTCCCAGCTCTTCTCTCCTTTTGGGGCAGAGCATACATAACCTGTGGCCATGGGACTATCAGGGGAGGTGGAGACCCTAGCATGACCCTCAACCTAGTCCTCTGCCCCAAGGGATCCCTTCACATGTGGATTGACATCTTCCCCAAGGACGTGCCTGCCCCACCCCCAGTTGACATCAAGCCTCGACAGCCAATCAGGTGAGAGAGAGTTCTGGCCCTTTCTCCCAAGGGGCAGGCACATCTTGGTCACACATACCACTGTCCACAGAAAATCTGAGCCCCCTCTGATGTAGGCAGAGACTGCTGACCACAGACTTTTGGGACCATAAGCCTTTGTGAACTGGGTGTCCATCACTTGTAAGCTGAGAATCTGAGTGTCTTTCAGTCAACCCCTTCCCGCTTGAGCTGTTCCAAGTGGAGTTCTATGGAGGATGTGGCCACTTGAGACAGGGCTGGATCCAGATGCAGCCACCAGTCTGTCCCTTTCTGTCTCTGGGTTTGCTTTTCTTGGTGCCACTGTCAAGTGGCCTTTCAGAGTCTGGGAGCAGACAGCTTCCAACAGTGCCAGGCTTATTTCTTACCAGCCAGGCCACCTGAGCAGAAATGAACACCTCTCTAGTTAGAGCAGAAGCCTAGCGCCAGCTCTCATTATGCCAGCTTGGGTCAAATACAGCTCCTCCAGCCTATTATTGTGGTCAGGGGGTTGTAATACACTTATAGGCCAGTCCCCAGGTGATGTCACCAAGCCTGCAGCCAATTAGGGGCCTGCCTAACCAGAATCACGTGGCTGGAGTCAGATGGTGGGGTCACCAGGAGAAAAAAGGGTATTACCAACGAACAAGGGGAAACTGACGTTGAGCAAGAGAAAGCAATCCTGTGACAGGCATAGACAGGCCACATGAGGGTAGGATCCAGAATGTTGCAGCCCCTCCTCCTGTCCCTCCTGGCCTGCATGCTCTCATGCCACTGTCTGCCGTCCCCCCAACTTCTCTCTGCAGACTGGCTTTCCCCCCGTCTGCTCAGTCATCACTTTTCTGCACCCCTAAACTTCAGCTTGCACATCAAATTGGCTTGCAGTGGGTCCAACTCTGCATCTGTTGCTATGCCACTCCAAATTTTGGGGAAGTACTCACTGTACTGTCTTTGGCCAGGAGAGCATTCTTGGTGCCACCTGCTGTCCCTTTATGGGACCACAGGCATACTGGTTATCCAGCTGGGTACACATCAGGTGCTCAGTGAATGTCCGTGGCCTGGGCCCCAGTCCTTCCTGCTCCTGCAGTCCTTCCTGGGACCCCTCTTGAGTCTGAAAACCATCCCCCCCTGAAATATATCTCCCAGTTATGAGCTCAGAGTTATCATCTGGAACACAGAAGATGTGGTTCTGGATGATGTGAATCCACTCACTGGAGAGATGTCAAGTGACATCTATGTGAAAAGGTAGGTCTGCAGGCAGGGCTGGCCAATGGTTACCCTAATGGTGGATTGCAAGCAGGGGCTTGGGCTCTCTGGCTGAGTCCAGAGCTTGGTGAGGAGCCAAGTTCTGGGCCCCAGCCCTGATGTCCACCTGCTCTGCGGTCCCTTCCCCTGGCCCCAGCTGGGTGAAAGGGCTGGAGCATGACAAACAGGAGACGGATGTCCACTTCAACTCCCTAACTGGGGAAGGGAACTTCAACTGGCGCTTTGTGTTCCGCTTCGACTACCTGCCCACGGAGCGGGAGGTGAGCGTCCGGCGCCGACCTGGACCCTTTGCCCTGGAGGAGGCTGAGTTCCGGCAGCCGGCTGTGCTGGTCCTGCAGGTCTGGGACTATGACCGCATCTCTGCCAATGACTTCCTCGGTACTGCTCAGTCTTCTCCAGCCTCAAACCCTACCCCTGATTTCTACCCTCATTGCCCACCACCCCTTGCCTCCCTTATCCCTTGGTTCACTACTCTAAGCCACTGCAAGTCCTGGGACTTCAGACCCCAGACCTGAACCTGTTTTCTGAACTGAGGACAGTAACTTCCATTTGTATTCACAGTCTTTGCCTCAGTCCTGATTTAACCCTAGCTGAGGTCGACCTGGACCCTATGATCCTGAGTTTGGCAATCTGATCCCAGTCCATGACCCTCTTCTGTTGGGATCGGACCACTGCTGGCAGTTGTGTGGTCCATAGGTGTGGCCTGACAACCACATTCTAACTTTTGGGGCCCCACTTCCAGGCCAGCTATGCAGCTTCCTGGCCCCTGGCCCAGTTAGACTTGGATCTCACA